ATTTCCCGGATCAAATACAAACGAGAAAGTATGGTTTGTTGTTTCCACAGCTGAAGCGTACCGCTAGAGGCGCTTTGATTGCACGAGGAGCGGCCTTAGAACAGTCATCTTCGATTTCTCGGATCAAAAAGAAACAAGAGACTACGGTTTGTTGTCCCCACAGCTGAAGCGTAGCGCTAGGGGCGCTTTGGTTGCACGAGGAGCGGCCTTCGAACAGTCATCTTCGATTTCTCGGATCAAAAAGAAACAAGAGACTACGGTTTGTTGTCCCCACAGCTGAAGCGTACCGCTAGAGGCGCTTTGGTTGCACGAGGAGCGGCCTTAGAACAGTCATCTTCGATTTCTCGGATCAAAAAGAAACAAGAGACTACGGTTTGTTGTCCCCACAGCTGAAGCGTAGCGCTAGGGGCGCTTTGGTTGCACGAGGAGCGGCCTTAGAACAGTCATCTTCGATTTCCCGGATCAAATACAAACGAGAAAGTATGGTTTGTTGTTTCCACAGCTGAAGCGTAGCGCTAGGGGCGCTTTGGTTGCACGAGGAGCGGCCTTAGAACAGTCATCTTCGATTTCTCGGATCAAAAAGAAACAAGAGACTACGGTTTGTTGTCCCCACAGCTGAAGCGTAGCGCTAGGGGCGCTTTGGTTGCACGAGGAGCGGCCTTAGAACAGTCATCTTCGATTTCTCGGATCAAAAAGAAACAAGAGACTACGGTTTGTTGTCCCCACAGCTGAAGCGTAGCGCTAGGGGCGCTTTGGTTGCACGAGGAGCGGCCTTAGAACAGTCATCTTCGATTTCTCGGATCAAAAAGAAACAAGAGACTACGGTTTGTTGTCCCCACAGCTGAAGCGTAGCGCTAGGGGCGCTTTGGTTGCACGAGGAGCGGCCTTAGAACAGTCATCTTCGATTTCTCGGATCAAAAAGAAACAAGAGACTACGGTTTGTTGTCCCCACAGCTGAAGCGTAGCGCTAGGGGCGCTTTGGTTGCACGAGGAGCGGCCTTAGAACAGTCATCTTCGATTTCTCGGATCAAAAAGAAACAAGAGACTACGGTTTGTTGTCCCCACAGCTGAAGCGTAGCGCTAGGGGCGCTTTGGTTGCACGAGGAGCGGCCTTAGAACAGTCATCTTCGATTTCTCGGATCAAAAAGAAACAAGAGACTACGGTTTGTTGTCCCCACAGCTGAAGCGTAGCGCTAGGGGCGCTTTGGTTGCACGAGGAGCGGCCTTAGAACAGTCATCTTCGATTTCCCGGATCAAATACAAACGAGAAAGTATGGTTTGTTGTTTCCACAGCTGAAGCGTACCGCTAGAGGCGCTTTGATTGCACGAGGAGCGGCCTTAGAACAGTCATCTTCGATTTCTCGGATCAAAAAGAAACAAGAGACTACGGTTTGTTGTCCCCACAGCTGAAGCGTACCGCTAGAGGCGCTTTGGTTGCACGAGGAGCGGCCTTAGAACAGTCATCTTCGATTTCTCGGATCAAAAAGAAACAAGAGACTACGGTTTGTTGTCCCCACAGCTGAAGCGTACCGCTAGAGGCGCTTTGGTTGCACGAGGAGCGGCCTTAGAACAGTCATCTTCGATTTCTCGGATCAAAAAGAAACAAGAGACTACGGTTTGTTGTCCCCACAGCTGAAGCGTAGCGCTAGAGGCGCTTTGGTTGCACGAGGAGCGGCCTTAGAACAGTCATCTTCGATTTCTCGGATCAAAAAGAAACAAGAGACTACGGTTTGTTGTCCCCACAGCTGAAGCGTAGCGCTAGGGGCGCTTTGGTTGCACGAGGAGCGGCCTTCGAACAGTCATCTTCGATTTCTCGGATCAAAAAGAAACAAGAGACTACGGTTTGTTGTCCCCACAGCTGAAGCGTACCGCTAGAGGCGCTTTGGTTGCACGAGGAGCGGCCTTAGAACAGTCATCTTCGATTTCTCGGATCAAAAAGAAACAAGAGACTACGGTTTGTTGTCCCCACAGCTGAAGCGTAGCGCTAGGGGCGCTTTGGTTGCACGAGGAGCGGCCTTAGAACAGTCATCTTCGATTTCTCGGATCAAAAAGAAACAAGAGACTACGGTTTGTTGTCCCCACAGCTGAAGCGTAGCGCTAGAGGCGCTTTGGTTGCACGAGGAGCGGCCTTAGAACAGTCATCTTCGATTTCTCGGATCAAAAAGAAACAAGAGACTACGGTTTGTTGTCCCCACAGCTGAAGCGTAGCGCTAGGGGCGCTTTGGTTGCACGAGGAGCGGCCTTAGAACAGTCATCTTCGATTTCTCGGATCAAAAAGAAACAAGAGACTACGGTTTGTTGTCCCCACAGCTGAAGCGTAGCGCTAGGGGCGCTTTGGTTGCACGAGGAGCGGCCTTAGAACAGTCATCTTCGATTTCTCGGATCAAAAAGAAACAAGAGACTACGGTTTGTTGTCCCCACAGCTGAAGCGTACCGCTAGAGGCGCTTTGGTTGCACGAGGAGCGGCCTTAGAACAGTCATCTTCGATTTCTCGGATCAAAAAGAAACAAGAGACTACGGTTTGTTGTCCCCACAGCTGAAGCGTAGCGCTAGGGGCGCTTTGGTTGCACGAGGAGCGGCCTTAGAACAGTCATCTTCGATTTCCCGGATCAAATACAAACGAGAAAGTATGGTTTGTTGTTTCCACAGCTGAAGCGTACCGCTAGAGGCGCTTTGGTTGCACGAGGAGCGGCCTTAGAACAGTCATCTTCGATTTCTCGGATCAAAAAGAAACAAGAGACTACGGTTTGTTGTCCCCACAGCTGAAGCGTAGCGCTAGGGGCGCTTTGGTTGCACGAGGAGCGGCCTTAGAACAGTCATCTTCGATTTCTCGGATCAAAAAGAAACAAGAGACTACGGTTTGTTGTCCCCACAGCTGAAGCGTAGCGCTAGGGGCGCTTTGGTTGCACGAGGAGCGGCCTTAGAACAGTCATCTTCGATTTCTCGGATCAAAAAGAAACAAGAGACTACGGTTTGTTGTCCCCACAGCTGAAGCGTACCGCTAGAGGCGCTTTGGTTGCACGAGGAGCGGCCTTAGAACAGTCATCTTCGATTTCTCGGATCAAAAAGAAACAAGAGACTACGGTTTGTTGTCCCCACAGCTGAAGCGTAGCGCTAGGGGCGCTTTGGTTGCACGAGGAGCGGCCTTAGAACAGTCATCTTCGATTTCTCGGATCAAAAAGAAACAAGAGACTACGGTTTGTTGTCCCCACAGCTGAAGCGTAGCGCAAGGGGCGCTTTGGTTGCACGAGGAGCGGCCTTAGAACAGTCATCTTCGATTTCTCGGATCAAAAAGAAACAAGAGACTACGGTTTGTTGTCCCCACAGCTGAAGCGTACCGCTAGAGGCGCTTTGGTTGCACGAGGAGCGGCCTTCGAACAGTCATCTTCGATTTACCGGATCAAATACAAACGAGAAAGTATGGTTTGTTGTTTCCACAGCTGAAGCGTAGCGCTAGGGGCGCTTTGGTTGCACGAGGAGCGGCCTTAGAACAGTCATCTTCGATTTCTCGGATCAAAAAGAAACAAGAGACTACGGTTTGTTGTCCCCACAGCTGAAGCGTACCGCTAGAGGCGCTTTGGTTGCACGAGGAGCGGCCTTCGAACAGTCATCTTCGATTTCCCGGATCAAATACAAACGAGAAAGTATGGTTTGTTGTTTCCACAGCTGAAGCGTAGCGCTAGGGGCGCTTTGGTTGCACGAGGAGCGGCCTTAGAACAGTCATCTTCGATTTCTCGGATCAAAAAGAAACAAGAGACTACGGTTTGTTGTCCCCACAGCTGAAGCGTAGCGCTAGGGGCGCTTTGGTTGCACGAGGAGCGGCCTTAGAACAGTCATCTTCGATTTCTCGGATCAAAAAGAAACAAGAGACTACGGTTTGTTGTCCCCACAGCTGAAGCGTACCGCTAGAGGCGCTTTGGTTGCACGAGGAGCGGCCTTCGAACAGTCATCTTCGATTTCCCGGATCAAATACAAACGAGAAAGTATGGTTTGTTGTTTCCACAGCTGAAGCGTAGCGCTAGGGGCGCTTTGGTTGCACGAGGAGCGGCCTTAGAACAGTCATCTTCGATTTCTCGGATCAAAAAGAAACAAGAGACTACGGTTTGTTGTCCCCACAGCTGAAGCGTACCGCTAGAGGCGCTTTGGTTGCACGAGGAGCGGCCTTCGAACAGTCATCTTCGATTTCCCGGATCAAATACAAACGAGAAAGTATGGTTTGTTGTTTCCACAGCTGAAGCGTAGCGCTAGGGGCGCTTTGGTTGCACGAGGAGCGGCCTTAGAACAGTCATCTTCGATTTCTCGGATCAAAAAGAAACAAGAGACTACGGTTTGTTGTCCCCACAGCTGAAGCGTACCGCTAGAGGCGCTTTGGTTACACGAGGAGCGGCCTTCGAACAGTCATCTTCGATTTCTCGCATCAAAAAGAAACAGGAGACTACGGTTCGTTGTCCCCACAGCTGAATTAAGCGTACCGCTAGAGGCGTGACTGTTCGATCACCTCCCCATCAATTTACTCGCATCTCCTGCACTGCGCAGAAAAGAATGGGGCGGTGTACTTAGGTGTCGTATCTCAATAAACAAATTGGAGGAAGTACACAGCCCTACACTGTTTTGCATTGGTGCAGGAGGTGCAAGTAAATCGGACGAGCCTACTGTTTCTTTAGGCAGCTTGCTCGACCTGCAAGTTTTTTTAAACGTTACGTTGCCTCACTAAAAAACACGGGTAAATTTGAATGCCGATTTCGCCACCACCTCCATTTGCCATTTTCTCAATAGCTATTCATGGTAAAAACGCCTATCGGAGATGTCTAGGCAACCTCATTTAATCAGTAGGGCTCATTCGTCCGCATATTTTGACTATTTACTGCCTCGGAACCCCCGACAACGAAAATGCTGAGATGTCTAATGGCTCTCCAGGCAGGCTACCTTTAGTAAGACGTTGGCACAATTTCCGACTAAATTCTTCTCGGCAGAAATGACGAGGACAATAGAAGCATTACGACGTTTCTCTTTTTTTTTTATTATCATTGTATCATCACGTCTCACAATCAAAAGTGGCGATAAATAACCTCTCTCACTCGTCTCTCATTTCAGCACCAAACAATGACAAGCAAACCTACACACGCACAAAAAAAAAAAAAAGGCGAGACACTGCCTTGAAACAAATTCATCGTCGTCGTCATACACACAACTGTACACAGGTTTGTGCGCATTTCTCCTCAAGAGGCGGCAAGCCATTCCACCAACCAACGTCGATATCACAAACTATATCTGCGACAGCACCACCCCAAACACCTTGCAAGGAGAGCGACAAAGCTCTCTCTCCTCGAATAGGTGCCCCATACAAAACTCGCTCTACTCGTGACCATCCTACTCGTCAACAGGACGACCAACCCCTTGCGGCGTGAACACGCCAGACATGCACACCTTTTTTTTTGTTCTTAGAAAACGCAGCGCAGTTTGTCTCGGCAAACCACGCGACGGGACGACCACGACACGACGCACTCGATTCTCATGGATACTGTTCCTTTGATCTTGTCGACCCTAGCGGCAGAGGTGGGAAACTAAGGCGGGAAGAAGACGGACCGACGACGTGTGCGTCACTTGTTATTTAAATCGCCCAAAAGAGCAGTTCAATGTACTGAACTGCACCAAGCCTAGCTTAAAAAAATCCTTAAAAACTGAAGAAAAAAAATCGAAACAATGTGAATTTGGAGTTTACAACAGAGATAATGCTTTCCCAGACGACACCAACCACCCAAAAGAGAGCTGGTCGTGACTGGCAAGTAATGCAAACAGGAATGCATTGTATACCTAAAGCTGTAAGTCACTAAGAAAACTAATCCAAGTGCTTCAATTTCCCACCTCGGCCCTCGCACGGCGTAACTCGGGCTCAACCAGGCTTATAGTAGCTTTTGTTTGAACAGTCGTAGTAGTCACTCCTACTATACAATTACATCTAAAATGTGCATAACTTTGAGAGTGCATGTACACCGTAATTTGTGTAGGTGAGGTCAGTGACTAAGGGAGATGTCCCGCCTAATGTTTTTCCCGTTCCTCGCAAAAGGGGCAGCGAAAAGTGGGCAAGCCTTCCTCGGAAAACCAAGAGCAACTTCAAAACTAGACCTTGAAAACATTACGAGCAACACTGCCTAGTACGAGCTCTTTCCGTCGGCAGGGCCGTTTATCGGACATGTCCACGAAACGCAAACATAAATGCAACGCGACAGTAGCAGAAAACGGTGCAAGGCATGAACCGATCGTTTGTTAAGAGTACAGTTGTTCACGAGCGTGACACAAAGGAAGCTGGAACACCGCTTTTCAACTAAAAGTGGCATTTGAAAGGATACCCTACGTTGCCACACTTGAAACAGCTTTTTTTTTTCTTTTAAGAGGAGGAGGAGGGGGGGGGGGGGGGCTGAATTTTACTTAGGAGTACCAAAAGCACTAACTATACTCACTGACAGGAAGAGAGGGGCAGGGAGAAGTTTCAGTTTTTCCTCCTCCAGAAGAAGCTTTCTACCTTCGATAACGTTTCAGCATCTCGAGCCACAAGCGTGCATGCGCGGCCAAAGCACAGAGGAAGGCAACGAGCGCACGCTGGAGGCCAGGCATTTGAAAGAGACACACTACCATTCCCATCTGGTCAGTGACTACAGTAGTACAACATAACATATCTGTCATGCTCATCCAATTAAACCAGTTCAGTCTTAGACTTGCCGTGAAAATTTTGGTGCACTCCTATTATTACAAAACCTTGCCAGAAAGTTCCATGAAAAAGCAAACCGACTGCTTTATGAAAAACTACAAGTTGTATGATCTGTAATGATAATTAGTGTGGTAGTAATATTTAATGGTACTAAAGAACCTGATAAAAAAAAACAACTCGATATTACAAAAAGCCTGTCATTTGCTTCACCTTTTTAATGCTCCAACTTCATTGATGACATAACTGAAAATTACTCATTGTCGTTCGGACAAAACTGTCCCAAAAGCAACCATAGTGCATGTCTTGCCCTGGTTTGAGTTACACACAACAAGATTTATCACATGTCACAAGTCAAATGAGATGAAGCACAGTTTAGTTTTCTTTCTCTTCTTTAACCAAGTCCCGAGCCGTAACATGTCACAATGTATCTTGTTCGAAACTGCACCTAAAACGGTTACATGAAACGGAAATAACTTAGAAGAAACAATTGTAAAACAGCTACGTAAAATATCCTTGATCTTGCGTTTCAAGGCAGCCTTTGATAATCAGGCATGTCCCCTATCACACACAAAGTGTTGCTCAGTTCAAATTGTTCAATAAACAAACTAGGTTCAATGAGACAAAGGCTATGCTAAAACCTTAAATTTGATCGTCGAGAAAGAACAGTGAAAAACAGAAAAGTGGGGAGTGCAATAAGACAAAAACGAGCATTTAGTCATGTCACAATTTTTCAACGAGCAAATTACTTTGCACATCACAAGCCCAATGCCCAGCTTACCAAACATTACAACAGCACATCCAGGGGTTTTATCAAACTGCATAGAAAGGTTGTGGTGTAGAAACATTTTTGATTCTACTGCAAAAAAATGGTAGCAAGAAATTGTACAGGAACACAATATGTTTCTCTCTTGTTTTGACAAATACCAATATGCCACACTTCTATGCATAGCATAGGTAACCAATAGATAGCAAGTTATATATTTGTTTTTAGCTTAAAAGAATCTGAGGTGTTTCCTAATTATGTTTCTTGAAAGTCAGATTAAGCCATATCGAAACAGAGTTTCATAAAACTGCATAGCTTTTTCTCCCTGAGGTCCGGTAGTGGAAACTTTCTTTGAACTCTGTCACACATAAAATGTCTGGTCTTCAAGATCATTATCATACATTGTTTTTTGAGTGAAAAATTAACCAGACTAATCGAATATACCGCGATTGTAAAACAGATCACTGCACTTAAAGGATTACCATGAGTAAAAAAATTATTCTTTATATGCTATGCAGTGTGCACAGTCATAAACGAAATGGACCCCACTTCTGCCTATCATGACCATACAAGCACCAAACAACTTTCCTCCATATTCGCACAACATAGTATTATAGTACTAACTTAATGCAACAAATGCGCTGGCCTAATCTTAGAGTGCTCTTTGACCCTTTCTACCCCTGAAGTCTTTGGCTTTAGGAATAAAACATCTAGGGGCCAAATTACTCTGAAATTTTTAATCCCATAATTTCAAAAACTTGCATTGTTTATATTATAAAAAGTACCAATTAACCTTGCCACCACTCATGCCCGGTGCTCCAGAACTACTTCTAAAACTGCTTCTTAAACCACTGTAGTGACAACTGATATTTGATACTGCAGCAAGGCGATGGAAGCTTGCCAAATGGTCAACAATGTTCACTAATTTGCAGGCTTTCCTCACATTTCCCTGCTGCCATAGCATAAGTATGCCAACTGCTCTGATGAAACATCTCTGTTTAGGATAATTGAGGAATATTAAAGCTGACACAACTGGTGCATTGACAGCATGTGAGCAAACTGAAGAACTTTCCCTCTTCACAGCCTGTACAGATTCTAGATGTTTATAAATCACTAATATAATCACAGGGTTTGAGTGCTCAATTAATTTACTTGGTTTGGATGACATAAGCAGCTCAGGGCAGGAACAGCCCATTGTATGAAAAGGAAAAAGGATTAACGGTACGGGAAGCACAGTGAATAGTCAAGTTCTGAAAAAACAGCCAACACTTTAGGATGCCAGAAAAAAAAATTGTGCTCCTGAGATGTGGAACTTTTTTTGTTTTCTGCCTGCGTATCACACAACTTTTACTAGGGACATGTTGCTCATATAAAAAAAATCTTGCTTTAAAATAGTCTACCTCGCTATGTACATATCCCAAACATGCGATGCTAAGAGGAAACTACACTGAAAGAGACAGAGAGAGAGAGAGCAAAAGCAGATGTGTGCTAGTCTTCCTTACAGAGCTTAATGTTACATGTTCATCGCATTACTTTGTGTAACTGTGTATATGTACATACGCATGTTGCCCCCTTACTTTCGGGAAAACAAAATGAAGCCAGCCTCAGTTTAACGACGTAACTCTGCCAAGCGTAACGACTTTGCTCACGTGAACCTTTCCTTCCTAGAGTGGCCCTTCCTGCTTCTCCTTTCCTTTCAAGACACCACAGATACTCATGCTCTTATGTACAAGGGGCAGACCGAAACTCGCTAATCATCCGCTGGTAGCTTCTGACTGGTCACCACTAGCCTACATGTCTGGATGTCGCTCCCGCCTTTAGATGTTTGCTCCTCCAACATACATAACCCAAGAAACTATGTACTCTCCAAAACACACACAGAAAAAGATGCTGCAGGGATGCACAAGTGACACAGGATCCTTATGTAAACAACTTCCCTTCCACACTCTCTTTAAAAAGAAAAAGAAAAAAAAAACATCCAGCATAGAAAATTATTTCTGACACGGATCACAGCAAAGTGCCAGTCTTAAGACACCGATGGCCAGAGTCCTTGCCATAAACTCACCAGACGTCTGCATTCACGCCGCGGGTGATACCGTTCTCGACGAGCGACGTCCGTGATCAACGTCGCAGCCCACACTTTCTTAAGACAGCTGTTCAGTCGCACCACTTTGTGGGGCCTGACAAAAATGAGTTCAGGCCAAAGCACTACCACACAATGGGAAATAAAAAAAAAAAATTTTAAAAAGATGGTACGGCTGTCAGTCACAATGGTTGCTGGTGCGAGACGAACGGCTCCGTGCGTGTCAAGTTCGAGCTTGTGTCCGGTCGGCTCTTGGTTCAGAAATGTGCGAAGTTCTACACACAAAAATAAACAATGACGAAAGCTTGCTGCGAGAGCACACACAAACACGTGGAGTTGCAGTCTTAGGCCAAGTATGGGCTTCAGGTTCGGATGACTCCTACAGCTCTAGTAGAGCTGGGGCAGCGACTCTGGGAGCAGCCCACCGACGCTGCTGTTATTGCTTCGAAGCGCGAGTTGTCCTCTTGCTTCTCCTCCTCCGCAACCCCCTTTGTCAGTCTTGCATCTTCTCTTTTTGACTCAACGCAATGTCGGCCAGGGTTGCCAGGCCGCTGGGAAGGTCTTCTTCTCGAACAGCCCCTGTGGATGTGCCCAAAAAGACCGTCCAGGGAGTGAGTTTCAATTGGCGTCAGGTACGCCAGAAACTGTTTGAAGCTTGGCGCCAACGAGGTAACGTCAAGGCAAAGAAAGGACGGAGAGAAGCAACTATGATTTATGCAAGTCTCTGTACTCTTCTTTCTTCTTATGTGTGCTTTATATAAATTCTCCCTCCCTCCCTTCTCGTCCCCCTCCGCTCCTCCCTCCCCCTCCTCCTCCTCCCTCCTTCCCTTCCCCTTCCCTTCCCCCCCCTCCCCCCTCGCCCCCCCCCCCTCCCAAGTGTTAGGGTGCTAACATCACCTGCTAGGCTCTCTTTATTCCTTCTTGTAAGATGGACCTGTCTAAATTCCAATTGAACTACAAGCTGCAAATGGCTTTCTATGTGTGAACAACATCTGCCTGCATTCTCTTCAAAAAGTCTTTACAAAAGTAAATGCCACATACAAAAAAAACTATTGGTTACTCATTAGCAAAAAATTTGAATTTCATGGCCCTGATTTGTTGTCGTATATCTCATAATAGATGCAGCAAAGCGGCTCACTTGTAAAGTTAGTTTTATCAAAAAAATGTTTTCACTGCATCAGAGGGTTTGTAGCAGTATTACAAACATATACGACGAAGAAGCTTGACGGTATGTCCACTTCCTTATAAATAGTGTGTCGTTCGGATGTAGACACGTGATAAAAACCACGTCCTTGACCAACATGTGCAGCGACTTTCGCGTGCTGCTGGATCTGAAATCACTCGCCCCAATGGACCCACCTCAAGTTGCTTCGTCGCACATAGTTCAAACTTGCTTTGCTGTTATTCGTATCTTCAATATACTACCGTAAAATACCGGGCAAGTGCCCACTCAAACTTTGGAGGTAATCGCAAAAAAATTCTCCGGTCATCAATTTTACATATAAATGTACTGTGTGTATTTTCTCAGATCCTATAAATTTCAGAAGAGGCGCTCAGTGTGGTGTGGGCGGATGCACGGTATTCTACGGTATACTGGTCTTCACCATTTTCTCAGTGTTTTTATCCCGTTAGAATTGAGGGTGCTTAGAATGTCATAAAAAGAGGTAATTTCTACAGCTACCTCCATAGCTTCTCAGTGGATGAAAACTTACGTTACAAAGGACACTAAAGTAATTCCATAAGAAGGAATGTGCGCAGATACAAGAAAATGTGCAAAAACCCTCTTCCACACAGTGAACTGTTTCCCACAGCTGTCTGTCAGTCATAGGTGTCCAGGGATCCACTGACCTTTTCCTTTCTTTCTCTTGTCCTTCTTGGGACTGGTGCGCTCTCCCTCTCCTGCTTCTTCCTCCTCTCCACTGTGCCAATCCCTCACCCCGTTCTCTTCCGTGGACTCCGAGCCGGCTCCCTGGTCCGATTCCGTGCCAGAGTCCTCGATTTTGGAGCCTGCAAGGGAAAAATGCTGGGCCGTGCTGACCGCTCCCTTTTTTGCACCAGTCTCAAACCTACCTTGCTTGCCACTAGAGGATCCGGAATCGCGCCTAAGCTCTTTTCTTCGTCGACTGAGGACCTCGATGTCGCACCTGGGAAGGGCTGCGAGGTGTTCGTCAAGGTCGAAGTCCCTGCACACGAGAGAGGAGTAGAAATTGACTTCTGTGCCAAACTGTATACCAAATTTACTCGCTTAAAAAACCGTTGGTCATAAAAATTTCGGACTTTCGCCCTCAATAATGCCTGCGACCTCGATTTCAATGCCACAAGCAAATGCGGTTCACTCATTCCTGCGCTATTTTGAACAAAATACGACCAGTATACCCTGCTTGCAGGCTAAAAAAAAAGCCTGACAAGCTCTCCCCCGAACTCCTCCACTCTTTCCGCTTTACCAGTGCGAATGCCGGAGTGGAGGTGGGACAAGGAAGGGACTCGCCTCCTTAGGGGAGGGACTCGAAGGAGGAGCTAGTCCTGCTTATCTTAACCCGCAATAGGGCGGAAACATGCTCCAGGGAAAATCTTTCTTTTTAATAGTTGGAATAGCTTAATGAAAACTTTTCACAGTTTATAGGACTTGATTTCCTCTCTAAATCTTGCGTTAGTTTCAATGCAGCTACTTTTGCCGATGTTCTGCACGCACTACATGCATAAAACAAATTGTTTTATGCATGTAGTGCGAAAGCAAGCATGAAAGAGCATAGTAAAATAGGCCAATTTGTTCGTTGGGAACTACTGAGTGCAAGTAACAACAAGAATAATGTGTGTGAAATCTCACCAAACTTCTATGACTATAGTGACATATATTGTAACAGAACCTTGACAGGTGCATTCTACACACCTCAGAGCATATGCATGCCAAATTTGGTTGGGATGGGACTACATGAAGTACAAAAAGTACAAAAAGCTACAAAAGGAGAAAAACACTAGGGCTGGGCGTCGATTAAAAGTTTTTTCCCGATTAATTGCCCTTTCATCGATTCACTAATCAATTAATTGGTTTTAACGATGTTCAAAGAGCTTAGATTCGGAACATTCCCCGAAAATACAAAATTTGTACAAGAAATATGAATTTATTATAATCAATATGAAAAAAATAAATGTTCTATACGAAATAAATAAAGTAAAGACTGTAGAGTGGCCCGCTTGCCATCAGTTTGCACCACGGTCGACTAGTCGCTCTTGCAACACTAGTCTTTTGAGGATGACAGAGGGCGCAAGTTTCCGAACGTCGGCTGTGATGCACAGCATTACGGTCACCCTTTGCTTGTCATAGCCAGTCGTACGCACTTTTACCTCTCGGGCGCCTATTTCGTTCTCGGTGCATGTCCTTGGCATGTCGATGTACACAGGGGTCTCATGGGCATTGCCGATCTGCCCGAGTCCATAGCGAGATTCGCGACGCAGCTTCATCACAAAACGTTGGAAGGTGACAAGTTTGTCCTCGAAGTCCACCGGTAGCTTCTGGCAGATAGTGGTGCGGCGCCTCAAAGAGAAACCGTTCCTCTTCATCGTCCGCTCCACCCAGCCTCGGCTTGCGCGGAACGCCGCACCCCGAACTGTTCGGCAGTGCCGTGATTTCCGTTGCCTTCCACGTAAGAAATAACCGTTCTCTTGAATTTCATCGTGTATGAAGTTTTCTTCGCACTTATGAAGGACGGCTTCCACAAACCACGTGCACACAGTGAATGGAATACGATAGCGAGGCCAACGCGGACGAATAGGCTTAACAGACCAAACAACTAACTGCAACAAGCACAAGGAGACCAAACAGACAAAACATCTACGATAGAGAGTACGGCAACGCACCCTCTTTTGCAACCCGCACGGATGCGAAAGTGGAAAATGGCGGTGTGTGCTGCCATCTATTAACTGACATTGAAACCAAGCGCCGACGGCCGTTCGCGACTCCGGCGCTCGGCGATACCAGCGTCTCCGATCTCAAATTTCTTGTTGGGAGGGAGGTGCTTACATTCGCATGCAAACTTTTTTTCAGGTGTTTATGTTTGCAAGTGGGGAGGGGGGTGCTTACAATCGGGGGGGGGGGGGGGGTGTTTAGAATCGCGAAAATATGGTATTTTTATCTATAACATTAAGAAATTTGAAATTAATATATTTGTCTGCCTTTGCTGAATGTGTGATAAAAGGTGCAACATACAACTTGGATTATGAAGCAGTCTCAATGTGTAGTTAAGAACTCAGACACTCACACTCACTGATTTTTATGTCAGCTGCATGCGGCAAAGAGGTTGTTTGATATTCTGCAGCAAGAGCAGCCTTCTTTGATTGTTCACAATAGTCTCTGCTGCGCAAAACGGACACTCAAGCAGCATTGAAGTGGCCCAGACACGTGTAACCCTCTGCACTTCTCTGGAGTTACAAATCTCGCAAATAGTTTACCTTATTCCAAAAATTTTACCTAAAGTTTGCCCTCATGCAGGTGTACTCGCTCGTCCACATTTGCGTGGTGGACACATTTAATTTTTATTTCACTGTGGTTTGTCAAAAATTTACCATTAAGCGGTTAGAAAACTTTAATTGTGATTAAAGCAATAATTGATAAATTGGTAGGTTAATCTATCCATTGCCCAGCCCTAAAAAACATGTTTGAATGTTATTATGGACATGCTCTAGTAAAAGAATGGCCTAGATGACATGAAATTTGACCACAATGCATGCCAGGCCTCTGCATCATGGCACAGAACTTTAAAAATGTCTCACGCCATATGTGGCTCCTTCACAGTCCATGCGAGCAGTGTCCTGAACACGAGCCCACTTCAACATTCGGCAGTGATGGGATTTTGCTTCAGCAGTCCTTTTGGTGGACATGCTGGCAATGTGCTTCTTGTCGCACTTATCTCTGAGCGTGATGACTTCCTGAGACTGGAGAATGCCAAGCTCCTGTAGCACCTGCTCAAAGCCCGTGTGACCCTTATTGAACCATAAGGTTGCAATGGAAGTGGCCATCTCCACGACAGCGCACAAACCTCGTCTTGGGGCACAGCATTCAGATTTTGCTGTTGAGTGACTCAGCAGCACTCTGAGTCTTCCCTTGTACAGTGTAGACAACATATAACGTATGTCGCGGGAGTCGCGAAAATCCACACGATAAGCGGTACCGCGCTATAACCAAAACATCAATTTTTCAGGCCAAAATGCATGCCATAAGACAACATCGCCGTACGAGTAGGTGGATCTTCCCTTCTAGTACGTGCTGGGTTATCATAGCGACACACAAAGAAAATTCACAGTCAAGGATAGCGCTTCTACGCGGAACGATGAGCTTCTACCACGCCGTCTACGTCGACAATTACAACCGATGCCATGTTTGTGCATAGATGAAGCCGGCCCGCGACCGGCATGCAACGTGAGCGAACACTTCTCCTTGACCTGCGATTGGTCTGTCGTTGCGGTTGTTTTCGAACGCAGCGCAGGGACGCACGCACGTGAACAACACGTGCGTGCATCCCTCCGTCATTATGGCAACTGAAGCCTCTCTCTTCGCTTCTCCCCGCTTCTTCGGGCAACCTCCTTGCCCTACGAGTGCCGCTTGCGCCGTTATCTTGTGTCACACAGGGAAGCGTGCACTCTGCGTCGGTCAGTCGGCGCGGTCGCCAGGCTGTTCCGAAAACTGCACTATAACCGGTATTTCCCTTCGCGCGCCTGCATTTTAAGCGGTATGTAATTACATGGAGTTCTATGGGAGGCGAACCGGTGGTTTAAAAAAGCCACGTTATACCCGGTCCTGCACTATAAGCGGTTACGTTGTAAGTGGTCTATACTGTATGCAGTGGGACAGCAGTTTTTCCTTCGTCAACCTTCTGTAGATGGGCAGTATGGTTTTGGCCCGAGCATATGCGAGAATCGAAGTGTGTGGCGGTGCTGGTTCACCCAGGGCTTGTGCTCTCTTGTGCCTGCACCAGGAAGGTTCCCCGTCTGAACAGAACTTGTGGCTGCTGGCAAGATCAGTGAAGCAGGCGTGAAAGTATGATGCCCCGATAGTACAACACATTCCCCAGACACTTCCTCTGTTACTGGTGATCGCACTTTGGAAGTAGTTCTGCAGCTTCTGGATGGTTCCATCCTTGAGCTTTTGTCCATGTGGTAGTGGCGGCACCCTGAGCTTCCAGAGTCCAGTACCCAGTCGCTTTGCCACGTGCGGGTCACATCATCTAGAAATAGGTGGATTACCTGTCTCATCCTCCAAGAGTGGATACGAAGGGTCTGGGGCTGAACGTCAACAACGTGAGAAGGCTCCTCATGCTGGACCAGGCGCTGATTAGCAAAAAACTGAGGCTGCCCGAGAAGCTCTACGCCAGGGACAGAGACGCAGCCCTGGTACCAGGCGGCTGCACCTCACTACTGCAACCCGCCGATGTGTCGTGGATGAAACCGTTCAAAGATGCGTTGCGTGAGCGTTGGACAGTGTTCTTCAGAGCGGGCGAGCTGACCCCCAAGGGAAATCCAAAGAGGCCGTCTAGGCAGAACGTCATAGACTTTGTGGCAGAGGCGTAGGCACCCCTCTCCGAGGACACGGTGTGGCAGTCCTTCAAGAGGTGTGGCATTTCAACGAGCCTCGACGGAACGGACAACGGTGAACCCAATGACTGTTTGGCGTCGGTGGACGATGCGTCAGAGGCGGGACCTGGGGAAGACGAGAGCCTGGTGGACATGGCCTTGGACTTGATTTTTGACAGCGGCAGTGATGTTTCCTTCAACGGATTTAGCAACGAGCATTAGCGAAAGTAAACGCACAAGGAAATCTGCCTTTTCCCGTATTTTTCGTGGTTTTTGGAGTTCACTACCGAAACATGGCCCACCCCACTTTTTGCTACAATTATCTCTAGCAAAAGAGTGGGCACCCTTTCTGGATTTTATGGTACGTGTTTCAAAGTTGGTCTATACTGTGGTCTATCTAAAGGTGTGGACAAAAATATTTGTTTTTCAATATTGCTCACTACCAGCATCATCCAGAACATTTGTTGCAATCACATTTGGCAGTCAGCAAGTTGTGTTTGCCCTTGATGCCCCTTTGGGTTAGGGGCAAGGTGTACCCATACCTCCAATATGAAGACGAGCATTCAATTTGTTTCTTTTAAACAATATGAATTATAAATGCAAGAACTATCAACAGAAGATGAATTTAGATTTGTATTGTTTTATTAATCCACTTGGAATCATATTTGTTGGGATCAAAGTATGTATCATTTTAACGGGAATAGGGATGAATGAAATGATCAAAAAGCGCCAACCCTTTTTTTTCTTCTACTAGAATATGTGGGCTATTGTCCCAAAAAATTGCCATTTAGGTTTAGGTTCTCCTAACAGCCTCGTTCAAGCAGAAACTTTTTTTTTCTTTTCACAATCTCGTTTTTTGTGAGAGGTAGGGTGGCTTGCAGACTCTGGCATTGGACTAGAGCTTACAAGAAGTGAACCATTAACTTTGCATCTGTCTGGAAGGGACGTCGCAGTTTCGCCGTCGAGGGTTTGGGATGCAACGTCGGGATAGCCTATAGCGACACCGTTTTGGGAATGAAAACACAGTGGGAGAGACCGAGCTGGCCAGGACTCCACTGGTCGTCATCGTTTCGACATTGAGTATGAATTTTTTTGTTTCTGTCCGACAGATAGCCCTAGTTCGTCGTGTGACCCGAGTGGCATAAGGCCTCTAGAGGAGTGTTTGCCTTTTGGCATTTAGCTCTTCCCCTTTTTAGAGTGTGCTTGAGTGTCTGTGCATGGGTGTCGTGTTCCGGTGGCCCGCCCAGCAACGATGTCAACGACTTCGGACTGTGTCATGTCTGCATCGCCCATTGGTCACCCTACTTAGGACAGCCTTCATTCAAAATATTGTGTCTCTTGCGTCGGTGTTCACATCAGCAAACCCTGTTATGAGGGCATAGCCTTGAGCAGTGATTCTCAACAACTGATATTTCGCAGAGCCCTTGTGGATTGGCGGAGAAGATGGAGAGCACTGTTCATGGTGAGGGGAAGGGAAAGGGATAGGGATAGGATAATTATTATAATGACTTATTAAATGAATATAACTAAAGACAAGTGTGAAGTATACTTCTCTTATTGATATACACACGAGAGAACTCCCTCGAAAATTGGAACGTTTCATCTCAATCTAAAGGGAATACAACTTTCATTGCCGGGCTTGACTGATGAGGCGGGGCTTCACGGTCCCCTAAAATGCCTTTGCGGACCTTTTGGGTTTGCGGGCCCCCATTTTAGAAACCACTGGCCCCGAGGAATGTTTCTTGGGGCAGTGCAGAGAGACTGTTTGTTTGTTTTTTAGTGTGTTGGTTATAGTCTTGGTCCACACAGCAGTCAGTGTTGGTGTGAGAGTTTTTTTAGTACCCGAATAGCTGCAATATTTTTAATCTCAGATTTGTACATTACCTTCGCAGATGATAGCGTTCCATTGCGTTGCACCTCTACCAGCCAAGGAAATTTTTGTGTCGCTGGCATTGTAAGCAAAAAAAAAACTCCCAGCGAACAACTGAAGGCAACACAGCATACTCCTTTGAAATCAGGTATACGACATACAGCTCAGTATCCGTTTCAATGAAGAGAACCACAAAACAAGCATCAACAAAACAAGTTTTAAAATCACGTGATGGATGATAAGGCACGTGTGAACAATAGGATCACCCTCCCACGTGTTCCGGTGTAAAGATTACGTTTGCAGCTGCTTCGAAAGGGGTTGACGTCATTGAAAGCCCTCGTGTGAAGTGCAAACTGCATAATGGATGATAACGGCACCTGTGAACAATGCCAAGCACGTTCCTTCTCCCCGCATGTGTTTTCGTGCCGGCGTTCTCACGGAAAAAAAGACTTCAGAAGATTGAAGCGAAAAGTACAACCACTACGCATCAGCATACAGCACAACATGCGTTTCAATAAAGAATAAGCACAAAACGAGCATCCTAACCATATAATAAAGGATAAGGAGCTCCTGAAAACAATGTGAAGCACGTAGCGCTCACCGCATACGTTCCCGGTGAAGAAAGAAGAACCTCCCTATACCAAATTTCACCTTACGTCCAAATGCAGCAATTGCTACGAGCTATCTTAGCCAATCCCGTTCTGTGGACGTGGCCCGTGACACGCTTTCCGCGCGTCGCTGTGCCCCCTCTCTAAGGTCATGTGACAAATCGCTTGGCCTGCAATTGGCTTTGATGGCTCGTAACATCTGCTGTGCATAAGATGAAACGGAATATAGCAACAGATTTCACTGTTGCTGCAGCACCGCAATGAATAGGCCACAGATAGTTAGGACTCCCGAGGAGCAGCGTGAATACTAGGAGCGGCAAAGGGAAAAGAAACAGCAATACGACCAGCAGCGGCGTGCTGCGACCGGCGGCGGCATTTCTTATAGTGCAGTAGGCAGTCGTTGCAGATGATACCACAGCTTCGCTGACCAACCCCCTTCACAACGTGGATTGGGGCCCCAACTTTTTTTATTGCTTATTCATTCTCTTTCTTTGTTTCTACCTTTTCGTATAGTCATCTCCACCTGTTGTTTCATCAGGCACGGACCTACCTATCGCCTGTCACTGGTTCAAGCTAGCTCTTTTCATTTTTATTTTCTATGAAAGTTGGCTTTTTATTTTCATTAATTTCTCCCCCCCCCCTCCAAGACAGTGACCTGTTTTCTATCCAAACAGAAACCATGCCACTCCACTTCATATGCAATGAATTTCCAGAATGCATTGTGAACAGTGGAGCAAGCGTGGATCTATTGAAGCAATGAATATGCAATCATAGACTTAAAGGGACCCTGCAACAACTTTTTGACTGGTTTTTAATTTGCACCGATCCTGAGAGCACTGAACTTAGTAACTTAATAAAACTTTTCTTTTCTCATATTTTGCTTTATTTTAAAAGTTATAGGCAAATTAGAATTACAAAAACAAGCAAAAAATAACCTCCTTCATAACGTCGTAGGTCCTGGCTTGAGTGGCCGTGAACTAGAGGAGGGGTAGTGAGCTCATCAAGTGCTCACGGCTGCCGCACTCAGTGTCGACGGCTCAAGAGGGCGCCACTAAAGAACACGTTGGATAGGCTGTATGAAGCGGGCGGCCAGGGCGGCTCGCATTGCATTTGCTGCACAATTAAAGACTAATTCGGCATAACACTTCATTGAACACAAACGACAGCAGATACGGGGTAAATATCAGTTCAGAACAAGAGCCACTTCGCGCTGCCATACCGCCAAATGGCAAAATCGGCAGCCAAGCCTGCGCCAAGAGCCTTCAGAACGCTTGGAACCGGTCGGATTCTCGAGCCAGTATACGACCGCAGCGCCGCCGCGTACATCCGGAAGCTTTCTACGCTCGCCGTTCGTCGCGCCTCATCCCACTAGCCCTTTCTAGTATGCGCCGTTTTTCGCGCCGCTTGGTGGCAGGTATGTCGACGGGTCATTTCTTGTTTCCGTACTTTATAAACTGCATTTGTTTTGTTTTCTGATCTAAAATACTTATCAAAAACTACTTTCATACATAACTGAAATGATTCGCGACACTTATATTTTGTATCTCGACTAAAAAAAAAGATTTTAGCGGTTCTGACGAGTAGTAAGTCGAGGACCAAACACGTCGCATATCACGCGCTTTTGGCAACGCAGGTCGCCCTTGTAGGTGGAGGAGGTTTCCGCGTCGTCCGGTTAAAATATGACGCACTGAGATTTAGTTACTCTCTCCATGCCCGCTGGCTTGCCAGAACCCCAAGAGACGTGGAAACCGCAAAAAAGGTAGACGCTTAAGTATGATTGCAGGGCCCCTTTAAGGATCAATACCACCCAGTTTAGTGTAGAGTAAAATCCACCTATAACGATAGTGAGAAAACCCAAAAATGTGATTGTTATAGTAACCGATTAATTATCCTTGTGTTTGGACTAGAAACTGATCATTTCTGGTCTAGAAACTCTAGAAACTGATTGTTTTATATGATATTGTTATAAGTGGGTTGCACTGTAGTCACTACCGAAGCTGAAAAAATGTTGGGATTTATAATGTTTGTCTGTGAAGCAGACAGCCACTATAAATGTTTGCACCACACCCCACGAGGACCTCTGAACAGAGCGTGGCACACCAGGGATGCCCGGCGACTCGACGTCACTCACCCAGTCTTGAACTTCTTGGGCGTAGCGAGGTCCCTGCTTCCCCCCGGGGAGCAGGGGGCCTCTTCGGGACTGTCGGGTCCGTCGGCGGGGGCGTCGTTGTCTGTGTTGGAGGCCCCGGACTCGCTGCGATGCCTTGGACGCCGGCCGGCCGGGCTGGGCCGGAAGTCGGGGTCCTTGGACGGGTCCGTGTCGCTCTGGAAGCGGTCGTCACGGCACGCAAACTCCCCGTCCTCCGCTCCTCCCTTGCACTTCTTTTTGTTGCTGCGCCGCCGTGTGAAGGAATCCATGCTGCACTTGGGCAGGGCGGCGATCTGAGCGTCCAGGTTGAAGCTCCCACTGCGCAGCAACGAGCGCGTGCCTTCCGTCCAGGTGTTCCGAGAAGTCCGGACAGTATGGCCGACACGCGGATAACGTAGTTTCGAGAGTTCGCGCAAAAATGGACAATAATAGACCAGTAACGAGAAATAGACCCTTTGCTTGCCCTTGCCGCCAACCTTTTTGGTGCTTCAGTTCCCAAATGTCTTTGTAGTAAAAGCAGCTTGAAGAATATGCAAAAGTCTCACTACAACAGCACCTTCACCTTATGCCCCGCATGTATTCCTCTCTTTCCCCTTTATGTGGTGAAAATGAACCTGACCTGTCCAGCAACATATATTTCATTTGAAATTCTGAAAAAATTACAAAATTCAAAGTCACAGCTCTTTTTTCTTTTTTTTAACTTTAATTGGTTTTACAATGATACAGACCATGGTTATAATGAGGCTGTCTTGCTTTGGAAAATGTTTCGGCTGTAAGACCAAGAGGAGTGTGTGGAGCTACGAGTGCTTGCCTACAGACTTAATCCTACTAGTAGTACAGACTAATGCCCTGCCTACAAATGAGCTCGATTTGCCCATGTACACTATAGTTAGGGTTCCACGTTTTCGGTTTCTACTTTTTTCAAAATTCGGCGTACTTGTTTCGGTGTTTATTTTAAAATTAAATTTTCGTTGTTTTTTTTTTTTTCGGCGTATATTTATGCGCACAAAATTTTATCGGCTTTTTTCGGTAAATATAAAACAAACACCAACATACACCAGATCAGATGATCCTTGTAGCTCTGATATTTGTGATCACTCAAAGAATAACGGCACAGATACATTGAAAAAGAAATGGACACACTATTTGGCAAATGTGTGAAATTGTAAAAGAAACAAGAAAAACAAAACACAGAAGTACAGACACGTCAGATATGAAGCTTAGGCCCAAAAAACATGGAACTTCATCTTCTGTACATCAGGATTACGTGACCTTGTTATAGTACACACACATGTACTTTCTCAGGTTCTCCTCGTTGATCCGCACTCTTTCTTTTCTGTTAATATGACCCTGAGCTTCGAGAATGCCCTCTCATTGCTAGCACTGGACACTGGCAGGCTGAGGAGATTAAGCACTGCCTGAGCCAAAATCGGCCAATCAACCAATTGTGACCGCCGAAAGAGACACGGTGCGACGTTTTGAAGCACAACACAACATGCAGAGCTTGCATCATGTCAATCTTCCTTACGAGTTTGAAAACACGCTCGTACATGGCGAAGTCATGGGCTATTTCGGACTTCACGTTCCGATCGATGATGCCCACATTAAACCAAAACGTCGTGATGGCATCCTTGTATCCCAGTTGATTCGGACACGTTTCGATAGACACTGTCGTTCCACTTTTTCGCCACGGCTCTGCGGTACGACTGGAAGGTCAAAGTGACCTTTTCAAATTAAAAATGAATTTTAGAAAATGGATTTGATGTACTTTTATCGGTTTTTATCAGTTCAAATCGAAAATGCCAAAACTAAAAACTGACCTTTTTCGATTAAAACCGAATTTCCGAAAATGGATTCGGCATACTTTTATCGGTTTTTATCGGTTTAAACCGAAAACTCCGAACCCTAACTATAGTCAGCGACAAGTAGAACGCAGTAGATGCTCTGCCCCCATGTAGAGCTTTTTGCCTTTGATGACACTTTAGCTCACGAGAACCAAAGCCCAGCAGAAGTTCAACGAGCGCCTGCTAGAGCTTCTACTGCATTCTTAACCTGCCACCGACTACGAGTGCGTGTACCACGCGTGCACAGGAACCAACTTTGCGAGAGGTGATGCTGCAAGTGAGCAGCTTCACCATAAAGCCATAAGCAGTATCACTGCTATGGTGAGATACCAGGTGTGAGTCTTGATGTACACTTCACATGGCGGAGTGTAATGTGCACACATCAAACCTAATTAGCTACCTGTTGGCGTTCGAAGTTTCTGCTGCAATTCCAAACAAAACTCAGGTCAACTAGGGTTTTTTGTTTAATGTTATATTGGCATTAGGCATTATTGAGGGAATAAAGCTCTTCACCACAAACGTATAAGCACAGCTGTATGTGGCATTGTAAGGTGCACTTTGCAAGCATACTGCATCACAAAAAGCATGCATTAAAAAAAAAAGTGTCTTAACCAGACAATGAAAGTGAAAACCAAACGATCATGTACATGAAAGAAAAATATGCCAACAGATTGTTGCACATCTTTCTCTTCAACAATCTACAGAAAAAAAGATTCCTTTGAGGTTGACAAAACAACATTTCCAGGCAAGTGGTTCCACCCACCGACGCATTTGGGAAATAAGACATGCTTTAAACATCTTATTGGCAATAAAATTACGGCAGTTTAAATTAATGGTGGAAGGAACCTGAAACGGTCCCTGGCAGTGCAAACAAATAACCCTCCACCCCTTATGAATAATTCCACTGTAATGTTGCAACGACACATTGAGCACCATGAGGTGACTCAACTATGGTCGTGAGGCAGAACCTCATTGATATATTGTTGGTTAAAATGTTCTCTTTGCTGGTACATTCACAAACGCTGGTCCCATTGAACATCCATAATGATCTATGCATACCTCGGCAAACCTCCCTCAAGAGGGCCCTCACTCGCCCCCCTATTCACAAGTGAGGTGAGGGTGAGTGAGTTTCTGAACCCCGAAAACTCATGGGTGGCGAGTGAGGATTGTGAGGGCCGTGAGGGCTGTGAGGACCATGAGTGTGTGAGGGCCGTGAGGACTGTGAGTGCATGAGGGCGGTAAGTGTATGAGGGGTCTAAGGGCTATGAGTGTGTGAGGGCGGTGAGTGCGTGATGGGTGTGAGGGCCATGAGTGCTGTGGGGATTGTGATCCCTCAACATTCTGTCGCATCAGCGTTTTGGCGCGGCGTGGCGGCCGCGCTGACGTAGCGAGAGGTGGCGCTGCTTACCACTTTGAGTGGCTTTCTCTTCTCCCCCTTAGGGGCAATTTTCATAATAGCATCTTCGATCAACTCGCACCGGAATCGCCCTGAAACCAGCACAGTGCACAGCGCTCCTCGGTCGTGCAGCGCGATATCGGTGCAACATCGAGGACAAACTGCGCCGCGCCGGTGCACCACGGCGAGCTCCACCTTGCGTCACTTCGCGTTTTGTTCGTTTTTTCTCGCGTAGGTCAGCGCACGGTGCCCGTCTGCTGTCAATTTCTTCTATTCTTTTACTCGCGGATTTGACGGTCCCACAGAAATAAACATCGTGGACGTGATTGTCGATGGGGTCGCAAAGCGGGTGACAATTCCACATGTATATGTTGGCCATCATTATTGGTTCAAGAAAACGAAACACCAGATAATCGCCGTACCTCGCTGTGATCGAAACGCCTCGCGCCGCTTTCCACGAAGTTCGTGCTTTTCGGGCGCTCCTTGCCACCGCAGCAATCGCCAGTAATCGCGGCGATGGTGAGAAGCTCGTCGTCTCGCCGTCAGAAGACCCGAGGAAATCATCTAGTGCAGCTGCGAGGCGTGTTCGTTTTCGCAAGATCGCCATCTCGATAGTCTGCGTGTCTGCTACTCCCGCCATCTTCTCGATTCCCGCTCCTGGCCGCAATGCCTGATGGGACTGCCCCCCGGCGCACCGCCGATTTTCTTGGTGCGCGTTGGGGCAACGAAAAGCCGCACCGGGAGGGTGCGCTTCGTTGATCGAGGACGTCCGGTGCGCACCGGTGCACTTGATCGAATATGAAAGAGCGCACCTCAGTGCCCCGGTGCAGCACTGGTGCGTATGATAGAGGATGCTATAACAAACCCCCACAGAAAGGAGATCGACGTGTCGCTCCTTGATTGGCCACTTCGCCCCCGCGCTCATCTTAAAAGCACCGAACAGCAGTATCTCTCGCCTCTTCTTCATGGGATTTGGCGGCGGCGACAACGGGGAACCGTCTGGTGCACCGGTGAGCATTACCCCGTCCTTTGTATGTTTGTGAACGACCGTTCGGCCGTGGGCAATCTCCATACCGACAGCGTTCACCAGCTGATAGCTGCTGTCTTCTTGTTATTTGTTTTGTATTGTAAATAAACAGAGATTATCACCAAGACCAACGTGACTGGTGTCTGATTGCGCTCAACGAGCAGCATGCCACACGAGTACGAGCCCCCTTCGCGGTACAGCGTCTCGCCGCGAACGTGACACTCCCAAAGGCAGTGGACCGAAGGAGAACCACAGTGCGTGAGAGCCGCGAGGGCAGCGAGTGCGTGGGTCATGAATGCGTGAGGGCCATGAGGGCCTTGAGGACTGTGAGGGCTATGAGCGGATCAGGGCTGTGAGTGCATGAGGGCTGTGAGAGGCTGTGAGGCCCATGAGTGCGTGAGGGGCGTGAGGGCCATGAGTGCGTGAGGGCTGTGAGGACTGTGAGGGGTGTGAGGACCGTGAGGGGTGTGAGGACCGTGAGGGCAATGAGGGCTGTGAAGACTGTGAGTGCGTGAGAGCAGTGAGTGCATAAGGGCTGTGAGGGCCATGAGCGGATCAGGGCTGTGAGTGCATGAGGGCTGTGAGAGGCTGTGAGGCCCATGAGTGCGTGAGGGGCGTGAGGGCCATGAGTGCGTGAGGGCTGTGAGGACCGTGAGGGGTGTGAGGACCGTGAGGGCAATGAGGGCTGTGAAGACTGTGAGTGCGTGAGAGCAGTGAGTGCATAAGGGCTGTGAGGGCCATGAGTGCGTGAGGGTCCGTGAGGGTGAGTGAAGGGCTGGAGGTGAGTGTGACTGTGAGGATGAGGGTGGGTGAGGGGCTGAAGATGAGTACAGCTGTGAGGGTGAGTGAGGGGCTGAGGTGAGTGTGGCTGTGAGGGTGAGGGTGAGTGACGGCAAACTAAAATGCCGACCTCTATATATATATGTATTATTTTCTGTTTGTAGAGTTTGTCTGCTTAGCTGCTATGCCCCAAAACTGCCATCCTACATAGCCAGCGACGTCTCGAACTGCCCATTCGCGTTTTTCGTTTTATTTCACTGTTTCAATGAAACAGTTTAGACAGCGTGTGCAGCAAGTTTGGCATAAAAACTGGTAAGCCTATATTAGGAACAAAATTCAGAAAAACGACGCCACGCATTTCATGTCTTTGCAATGACCACAGCCCGAATAATGAATCCATTAACGAAGTAAACATCCCTGGAGTGAATAGAATTTCCATTTGCTAGTTGTTCCTCTTCCTGCAACCCAATACTTAAAGGGACCATGAAATGACCTTTTTACTTTTTCCAGATAACGTTTACATTAAACCGTCAATGTTCACTGAATGCCGAACAGGCATCCGTTTTCGTCTCGGTTTATTAACTTTTACACAAAAAATTATTGAAATATCGACTTTTTCATTCTCTCCAACTGACCGCAAAAGAAGCCGTGACGTAGACCGTTTCCGGAACCGGAAGTTCTCTCGGCAGTAGGAGGATGGGAGTGTTAGCGGCAACGAGTTGGGGTGCGCCGGTAGGTTTTACTGCGCTGATGTCACCGACGTATTTCCTGAATTGGCGCCTCTCATCGCCGCATCGCAGCTGAGCGAAATTCAATGAGATATGTTGCGCTACAGCGACAGCATGGGACTAGTCCCATACGCCGGTATGCCTGTTGGGAAGTGCAGCGAGTCTTGTCAACCACCCCGTCATTGTTGGCAGAAGGGCCGGCCCGTGTCAGTCGTTTGCAAAGCGACGTAGATGGCGTTTTTCGCGGCCTCGGAGATGCAGGAGCGAGCCGACGTTAAAAAAGATACGTTTGAACTACGAGTGTCAGCAAGAGCCACGTAAATACCTGTTTACACTCGGAGCGGACGCGCGCGCTTGATGGAAGTCTTGTATTCGCGCTGTTGGTAAGCGCTTCGGGACCGTTCTTTTACGATTGCAACTCGATACTGACGCGACACTCGGCAAAGAAAGGTTGGACCGGGGTCGACAGTGACGTGCAGTCTGTCAGAATAAAAATGGCATACCAATAACAAAGTGTACATACCGTGTTACGAAGGCAATCCATACGGCGTTTATTTCAGCTCTATATCACACAAAACAAGAAGATAGAATCGACGAGAGTCCCTTTTCGACGAGTGTTCGTCAACACTGCCTCGGAAAACAAGGGGAAGAGATTGACCTCCTCACCTCTTAATCTAGAATTGAGGTCAGTGATCAAACTATAATACGGGAAGGGTCCACAAGGGTCGCGCGGGCATATTCCATTTAGCACGCCAGCCGGTCGTAGGCAGACGGTCTTGCGACGAAGCAACGCAGCGCCGAGTCGGAATGCCTGCTAGGCCTATACGCTTCGTCGGAGTCGGTGAATCCAGCGTTCTTGTTCGTCGTGGTCTGTTTTAAGTACTGTTTTCTTGCTGCTTGAAGTCGGCACGCGCGGGAAGAACACGTAGAAAAATAAACGTTCAGTCAGTCAGAGTTTTGAGAGGAAGGAAAACAAAGAAAATAAATGTTCGTCGATCGCCGTCACCCAAGTAACTGGCGGCCCTGCCCTACTGCGCACGCGCAGTAGTTGCTTCGTTTACCACACGATAGATGGCGCTTGGCTCTCAGCATTATCAAATTTGGCAATTTTCGCCACACATCTCTAGTTATGCTACAAAATGTAGATCTGAATATTATTTAACAAAACTTTTAGGAAACATTCGCCGGCTATTTATTGTTTACGATCGCGGAGCTGGTGAGGTAGGCTCTTACCCAATAGGCGACCTGGATTTGGCTGACGTGCTCCATTTCCGCGTATGCATCGTAGTGAACAGGCGAAGGAAGGAAGGCGCAAAAGAGTCCAGTTTTCTTTTAAAAGTTCTATAGCAAATAATTTTTTTGGGCTCCCTATTTTTGTGTTTTTGTGTTTCTTTTCACACCTTTTACGACGTGCGGTGGATGAAACTCGATTTTAAAATCATTTCATGGTCCCTTTAACTTTCATCAGAAGTACATTAGTTGAGCAAAGCACATGTGCACACATGTGCACATGTGTGCACATGCGAGAAAGTTCATTTACCCACCGCAAAAGGTGGCACATTCAAACTGCCTTATTTTCACTCCTTCTGCCCACAACCATGATGGCCCCTTTCTTTCGCCTACTTTCGATCACCTGGCCAAGTTGGAAAAGAACATTTAAGCAAAATAACCGCTACAAAGAAGAGCTTTCTCCTTAGTGCCTCCAAATTTATAGCTAGGCCGACGTAATGCTTGCAATGTGATTTTGTTTCATCAGATCCATTACGCTGACAAGTCACATTCTGCTTTTATAGCACAGCCGTTTGCAGAGACACGTGGGACGGGCACGGTCTCTGCTACAGTCCACAGATATGCGGCCGACCCGGTCCCACCGACCAAATGCAGCGAGACAAAGAGAGCGCGCCGCACTCACCTGGCCTTCCTGGACGCCTTGCCACCGCCGTCCTCCTCCCTGCAGCCCTTCCTGCGCCCCCTGTCCGCGTCCTCCTCGCCCTCCTCCCTGCCGCCGTCCTCTTCCTCCCCCTCGCCCCTCTTGCCCCCCTTTCTCTCCTTGGCGGCCCCGGGCAGCACCCCCTCCGAAAGCAGGGCCTGGTAGCGCTGCCCCTTGCACGACCGCTGGCTCTTGCGAGACCCCGCACATTCCCCGCGCTCAGGGCTGCTGCCGCCGTCTTCGTCCTGCGCCTGAGGAACAGACCCCCGCCCGAGAGGGTCACAATCTCTTCCACGACACCTCCCACACTCACTGACTGGATGGGAAAGGGGGGAGGAGTCTTTTTTGTCCTGCCTCCGGCACACGATTGCTACCTTCGACAACGCTTGGGCATCCCGTAGGTGTCAAACGTGCGCATACAGCGCGGCAAAAGGCACCGAGCGCTTGCTGGAGGCGTATGCAAAAGACGCCCTATCGTTCCCCCTTTGTCGGTGGTTATGGGCAACAAGACCACAGTGCTGGATTTTCTCGGTCACCAGCCAGGGGCCAGTGGAGGGCACAGGTTGGACACGAGTGTTGCTTCGGGGGGTAATTGCGCTCTATCGGTGAGGACACGAGTGCCGGCCAAACGCAGGCCTCTGGTAGGCGACACAAAAAATCGGGCACTATTGCCTCACTATCTAGATGGTGTTGCTCCTAAAAAGATACTGTAAAAGCATACTGCAGTACCGTAGCATGCTTTTTCATTTTGTCGAGAATCAGCCTAGTCACAGCAGCGATTTCGGCATCATTTCTTTAAATTTTTCTAAATGGCAGTGTGAAGTTCAAGTTACTCCTGGTGGAGAAGGATTCTGGGTTAACCCTTTCCGGACCACGTTCACAGGTCGTCAATCATCCTTAATGATGGTTTCTGCACCCCAACGAAACCCAAATTTGTTGCGCAGGAACAGATTGCGCCATCCCGTGGATAGCCGAAGAACTATAGCTTCAGTTTCGATATTGCTTTGCACTTTCTCCCAAGCTGGTGAGCTATCAGAAATAAAGCTCCACATGGCAGTGGCACTTGTCATACCATGGCGTCCTGCTGACATTCAGGACCACTACAAAGAGAGCTTCAATAGCACGATTAAACTGCTTTTGCTTCTTGTTTGTTGCATGCCAGCTGCAGTGAGGACTGTGGATGATGTCGGATCCTTTGATTTGAGCTCCTATAGTGACGTTTCATCTCCGAGGTACAGAATATCGACAGGTGCTCGTTGGAGAGCGTCGTTATAGCTTTCTAGGTTGTCGTGAGCCTAAACACATTTTATGTGTCCCACACGTCTTAAACGGAAGCTGAAGCGGTTCTGTATTTGAGTAAAAACACCTCATATCCAGAGTTTTCGGAATCTCCACTCTCGCGCATCTTCGGTGTCTATCAAAGCTATGCATGTGCACTCTTACTATTTTCAAAAAGGTCTAGCTGGAAATGTTTAGACTTTTGGTTCTCAATTTGGCACACATTTCAAGTTCAGTATTTTAGGGGCAGATGGTAACTTCCGAAAATTCAAGTCACAGCTCACCATTCCTGTGAAAAATTGTAACCTACTTGACATTTCTAACCATGGGCTCAGACATTGACGACCAAGTTGCCCAAGAGTAGTGTTTGTGGCGTCATCTACCGATTGCTCCTGTAACTTTTGTGGAAATGCTGCAATGATACAGAGGTACACCCGCTGCCACGCTTGGCTTACCGTGGCATAACTAGCGGATTAGCCACTTAACTGCAGTTTGTTCCTTTGCAGACCATGGAACCAGTAGATTAGCTACAATTTCAGCTTTGTTAGTATAATCATGAGGCTTTTTCCTGCTCCCGGGGTTGCCAGAATTCCAGAGCACAGAAAAAATCTTTAAAATGAACCAGACCCACGAGCTAAACTTTGAATTACCACACAGTTTCTGCGTTTAACTCATATCTGACTGCTAAAACCACACCATCGTTCAAACTAACCCAAATATTGAATAACGCGACTGAATTACCAAGAGTCAACAGATGAATTCTATTTCATGCAGGCTCCAAAAGACACGCTAACTTCGGCAGGCTCCAAAAGACACGCTAACTTCGCGGCCGAATTCGCCGCTACGCCACTTCACGCTTTCAAGCAACGTCGCAACGAACGCCCGTCGCGCACTTACGCACATCGTTCTCCGTAAAAACGCGAGAGGGCGACTCACCTGCGCCAGACGGGCCCGCTTGTTCGGTGACGACGCTGAAGGCCCTTTTCTCCGAGCCACACCCGCCTTGCTAGGTCTCCTGGGGGACTCGGCCGAGTCCTCCCCGTCCCCAGACGGAGGCGGAAGGGCGGCACGAGGCTGCGGCTGAGCGCCCGCAATGGCGGCCGCCAGGGCCACGTTCTCCTCGGGGTGTCGCGAAGATCCGTCGGCCGAGAAGACGGTGCCGTCCAGTGGGGCCACGTTGCTGGGGCCGCACAGGAACTTCTCGATGATGTGGTCGATGATGTCCTGCTGGCAGGCCTTGATGGTCGTCGTCGGCTTCTCCTTCGACAGGTTGAGTGGCTCTTCCTCGTCTTCTGCGCGGCTCAGTGACTGCGCCAAACTCTTGGCGGACGACACGTTGAAGAAGCCTCCGGCCGGAGCGCCGGCAGTTGTCTGCGCAGCGTTTGACGCAGTCGCGATGGCAGGAGGCGCGGCAGTCGTCGCCAGAAAGGGCGGAGCCGCGGTGACCGACGCGGGGCCGGCCGTGGTCGTCGGCGCCGTCTGGCTGAAGGCTTGGTCGATGATGCGGTTGGCTGCACATACGTCGAACATGGGGATGGGGCCGAAACCTCGGGGAGCAACGCTGGCCGGCGGACTACTGCCGCCCTCTCGAGACTCCGTGGCTGGACCGAAGTCAGGGGGCTTCGGCCGGCAGGCGGGTTTCTTGGTCGTCTGGCATCCCTGGGGAAGTCCAAAACGCGTCGTGAGGAGGAGGAAAAAGTCGGGCGCGAGATGGGAAGTTTAGTCGAACTTTGAGATGACGCAAAAAAACTTGGGCATGTTGGTGTGAGGGGCACGTAAGAACACTCGAAACGAGGGAGTTCGAGGGGAAATGGGTGCAACGTCTTGCAAGCAGAGACCCCCAGTGATTTTAACGTCAGTCTAAAACCAACCAGAATGGAGGGTATGTCAAAGAAAGTGTAGGAGCATTCATAGGGAACGATTTTAGTAAAATATAGACAAACCAAGATTGAAAGCATAATAGAATTGCGCAAACAACATCAGTAGAAAAGGGAGCGGAGCAGACTAAAAGGGAGATGTCGAAGGAAAGAGTAATAAGACCGAACCACATAAAGAAAAGAAGAAATTAAAAAATGACATTCATTTGAATACATGGGAGTCTACGAACCTAGCACCCAACCTCGTGCACAATGCAAAGAACGTTGAACAGTCCAGCTTTAATCCGCAGTAGAGTCACGGCGATAGCTGCGACACGTCCCCGTGAAATCGAATTAGGAATTGGTGTTGCATTCACGCGCCATGGAGTGCATGAACAAAGGCGTTTTGAAGAAAATAGAGATATGTTTTGTTTCTACACTTTTGTTTTGTTCCAAACGCTTTTGTTTCTTTTTTGTTCCGGAGCGCGTGAAAGCGTGCCACTCGGCACAAACTCTTGGCATTGATAGTGTTACGACGACATTTTATTATCAGGCTATTATCTCTTTTCAGAGAACACTGCTGGTGTAGCTGAGTGGAAACAACTCCGCTTCGCACGCAGCAGACCCAGGGTCGATTCCCGCGGGTGGCGGGCAATCTTTTTCGAGGAATTGGCAGCATCGACGAAGGACGCCTTACATAGCCAACTACAACATCAACTACTACAACTACAATGACAACTACAACAACATCAACAATGGACGTCATTTCCAGAGGTGGAAAGAGCCCATAACAACTATCGCTATAAATGATGACACCATTTTGTACCTACCGTAAAATCCCGAGCAAGTGCCCACTCCAAATTTGGAGATAATCATAAAATCTGGGGGATGGGTGCTCCTTAGGTCAACAATATGCAAAGATATGTCCTTCGTGCATTTTCTGAATGTTACAAAAATTGAAGGGTGGCCGCTTATTGTGGAACGGGTGGATACTCATTATTTTACAGTCACTTAAACTGGAGACAAACAGACAATGAGGAAAGGACCTTCACACATGCCTCAAGAGACGAGGGACGTGCATATTTGTCCCATTCTTGCCTGCATGTTTATGAACTTTGTCTTCAGCTATTTTATAGTTGCAATGGCACACACTCCTAGCTGGTATTCAGATCTTTCCTTGCTGGCTTTTAGGGTTCCAGGCATGTGTGCAAAAGCGGTAACTCATGATAAAAACATAGTATGGGAGTCATGCTCCTACTTATCTTTAAAAGGGGCAATAAAGGCAATTCCAAATATTTCTTAAGATTAATGTTTTTTTATGTGGAATTTAAGCTAGAAATTGCAAACAACTTCCTTATTTTTTTTTTTTTTTTTTTCTTCAGAAACAACAGCATGCAAGAGCTAGTGGTTTCCACCAAGCACAGAAACACCGGTTTCAGTCCTGCAAGATTAGAGCAGTAACCAACATGCAGAAGCCAAGACTTCTTTTTCAACACATATTCGAGTGTTCAGAAACTGGAGGGAGGAAAAACGAAGGTAGCAATGCCAACCAATGGCTGCACTATACCCAAACGCTGAGAGTGGAGCAGAGGACAAAAGGGAATATTACAGCCATTATGCTGTGGAGGCCCCGCACCACGAAGCAGTCCACACGTCGCCCCTTTTCTAAAAGTCTCTTTGAAGAATGCCTTTTTACTTCATTTTATCATGTTTATGTTTACAAACTATAGAACACAAACAAGGTGTCTAGCAAATTCTTATTTTAAAATTCCCTGACTTTTCCAGGTTTTCCCTGACAATTAAAGCTGAAACTCCCTGACCACCAACGTGGTAAAATATCATAACAACACAAGGCTTTGAGCACTGTGAGGATCATTTTGCACGGACTCAATCCAACTTGCATATTCCGAAACATTCGGGTTAGTTCAGTCAGGATTAAACCAGCACTTTCTTGCCGCCGACATCGTCAGTGAAGAGGCCACTACCGGAAACACGACGCTCAACCACACTAGTCAATAACCGAATGGCAGCATGGCCACCAGATGCACACTTTCGGAAACTGTCGGATACTTTCGGCTTGGATTGGATTGGGGTCTGCGGCTTTTCCATTTGTTACTAAATCTAGTAGCTCTAACTGGATCTAGCCTAGTGTCGCGCCCTCAATCCAATCCAAGGCTCAAACTGGATTTGTCGGTTGTTTCCTTTGCATCGAGCGAGCAGAGCCCTCTACATCGGGCGAGCAGAGCCCACACACCGCTCTAAGCATAATTTATTGCCCATTTTTCTGCCCCAAAGTCCAAGTTTTTGCTCAGGGCACTCGATGGCGTTTCCAGCTCATTTTCCCTGACTGGGCTCGCTTTCTGACAATATCCCTGACGATTCCTCGATTTTTCCCGGTAATTAAAATTTTCCTGTCGATTCTCGGTTTTCCCTGTCACTGGACACCCTGACAAATAACAGATTATACTACGGTATGTTTCACTATATCTGAAAACGAGGGCAAAGATACAAGCATGTTGGCCTAGACAATGCTTGCAACTGCGCAAGCCTGCGTGCTTGCCAGGGCTGCTGAAAGCCCACAGCTAGATCTTCTAGCTTTTGCTATGCTTCCACTTCAAGTGAAGCGAAGTGTAGGGAGCAAAAACCATAGACTCTGCCTGATAGCAGCTCTGGAGCAGATGAAAGTAAGTATTCCCCTCTCGCTCGCCTGCAGCAAAGACATGTGGGAAGTCCTCTCACATGGCACAGAGCCAACAATCGATTGGTCCAGTCTCTGTGTAGTTTCCGCTGCAATGTCAGCCTAAGAGCAAACCGAGTACAGAGCCACACAAACATTTTAGCAAAAAGTTTACACAAGCTCGATACTGCCGACAATGACCGAGCACAGAACGTCTAGAGAGAAAACCACACATGATGTGTGTGGTTTGTGCCAGGCCTGCCCCGCTAGCATCAGCCTCACTCGCAAACCAAGCACGTAGCCAGGGGGGAAGGGGGGGGGGCATGGGGCCCGGGCTTTCCGCCCCCCCTGAAATTTTCTATTTTGCTGGGGCCTCCTCTCCCCCCTCCCCCTCATACAGCTTTTTGTCATGGATGGGCCCCCCCTTGAAACAAAATCCTCGCTACATGCCTGTCGCAAACGGCACACAGAGTGTGTGGTTTGATCGAGCTCGCATAAATGTTTGTGCTAACACGGGCGCATAATAACTGTGGTAACCCTCGAGCTATCAGCGCCGGTGGTGCAATGGGTAGAACATTAAAATTAATGAGCAAGGTGTCCCACGTTCGATACCCGACAGAGGTCAAAATGTCTTTAAACAATTCGGTCTGTGGGCCTACGTACGCAGTAGACCCACAGAAACACGTACATAGGCCCACTGACCTACGTACGTATATATGCTGTATTCGGCTTTACACTACGTGTAACGGCAAACGTGACGTTACAGACGAACGTAAGGTTTCTCACACGAAAATGAACGACAAAAGTTGTTCTGCGTAAAAATGCATCGGGGGAAGGAACCAACCTCAGCCAGCTCGAGGAGAGCCGTGCAGGCATTGTTCGTCTGCTGGTCGGTTGAAGTCCGGCCGGCGGGCTGGGCCACGCCACAGGGCGCGGGCGAAGGGGAAGGCGAGGGGGACGGGGACGAGTCCGACTTGACCCTGGCCGCCGCCGCGCTGCCCGACCCGTACGTGCCGTTCTCCATGTTCTCCAGGTAGCGCTTCTTGGGGGGCTTGCAGCTCATGGGAGGGTTAAGCGCCGCCGGGGCAGGGTTTGCCGTAACAGGAGGCGGCGGCGGCGGCGGCGGCGGCTCCGTTGTCGAAATGGCCGGGCCCAGCTTCACGCGCCGCTCCTCGACGGCGTCGGCCACGCCATCCTCCCGTCGGTCTCCTCCCGTCGGGTCTCCTAGAAAACAAAATCGACGTTCTAGAACTGCCCTTTATGAAAAGTCCAAGTGAAAACGCGGCACAGTATGTTGCTCCGAGGCGGTGGCTCTCACATACGAAATGGGGCGGAGGTAAATGCCGTAAAATTGAGGAGCCGCCTTTGATCGCTTTACTTATTGGCACCCCAAGTAGCCGTACTACAAAAACTTCAGCCTTTCCACTCTGGTGAAGAAGCAACACCAGCGAAGCTGTACTATGGTGGAAATGAAGTAATGGCTGGCCGCAAGTCGGCAAGCCAGAGTGCAAAGGCTCGAAAGGTTGCCGCCATCTATGAGCAATGGCGGCAACCAGACAACCAGCAACCCAGTTGTAAGGTTGCCGCTGTCGCTCACGGACGGCAATAGCTGTCCGGAGTGTTGTGTCGACATTTATTTGCTGGCAGACACAATCTTGGGGAAACTTGCTTTTAACAGCTCCCCTGTAAAATAAATTGAGGTTCTCACTATCCCACACAATAGTCAGTTCTGGCCATCACCTCCGCGAGGTGGTCAAGTGAACTCACGTGAGAGGCGCTCGGAAGTGAATAAACAAAGGTCGGTGCAAAAGGTGTATAGCGGCATTTTGGGATGTGGTACGCAACAACGACGGCCAATGAGTGACCGACTTGTTGATCCGGTACACTGTGTCATTCTCCAAAGTGCGTAGCAGCGAGGGAAATCAAACTATGTTTCGCATATTTCATGACAGAAATAATACTACAACAATGACGACGCTACACAGGGTGCTGCCGAAAGTTCGACGCTCCTCTACACTAATCAAAATAAGCAATATGTTCTGCGTGACCGACTAAACCTCCCAAGAATCAGGTTAACTCCAGACGGACAGTGCAACACACTGCCTGGGTCCTTGAAGTATTTGAGTTTGTTCCTTCACCCTGGTGTAGTTCTACAACAATATCCAGCAGCCTTGCTGGCAAAATTACAGAAAGACCAATGGCACAGCAATCTATTGCATCCCTTTTCCCTACACCAACACACTCCGATAGACAAAGGGAGGGGAGGGTAGTCATGTGACCATTTTTAATCCTAAGTTGTATGCAGAAGCTGTCCAATCGGCAGGTTGCTTCTACCATGCTGGCGAAACGGGCAAGGGTCATGAGAAGTAGCACTGCCATACTTGCTTTCCCTCACTGCTACAGATAAAAAATTATTCACTGGTTGCACAAAAGTAGTTCTCTCCTCCCACTTACGGAACTACGCAGCTACTCTAGGTGAAATTAACCTTTCCTAACAAGCTCAGAACAGCTTTTGTAGAGGTGCTATGTCAACTGGAGAACTGGAAGAAAGATGAGCATATCCCCAAGAGTAATATTAAGAGCATGTGTGACTTCAACACTAGCATGTGCCAGGCCAGAAAATTTCGCACATTCATGCTCTCAGATGCGCTGGATACTTTCAGTACAGCTGCATTTCTAACTGATCATTATAAAAAGCCATCAACCAAGCATTGCCACAAATTTGAGGAATACATCCATCCTGCCACTACACATGTTAAGCACAGTGAAAAGTTATTGAATTGACATAGAAAAAAAAGAAAAAAATTAACAGACATAACTTTCATGCTATAAATGATGTTACTTTCACATTTTCAAGCTTCAGAAAGGCTGATGCTCACCATACTCGAGACAGTGGCACCATACATTGGAGGGAGGGGGGGGATTGCTTGTTTTTTTAATGTCCAAACATTTTCAACCCCGCTGGCTGAAAGCTGTTGCCACAACAAACTTTCCTCGCTTTGCCCCACTATGTTTTGAAAATGGACACTGTGGCAGTACAGGGCTGAGGGGACTGTCGGTGCCACTCTGTCCCTTGTGATACACTTAAAAGCTGGTTCAGACAATTGTACTTGAGTGTGACCAACTGCATCACGACTCCTTGCATCCTATTATGGTTGTCATAGCAACTATCTTGTCGTAAGCAGCCCTAAACAACATTAATGCCATCAGTAGCACACTAACGTTAATGTCTGAACCAGGCTTAACTGGTTGAAGCAGTGAAGCACAACGAGCGTATCGGGGGTGCACTCACGGGGGTGGTTTCCCTTGGGCGTGGGCAGGCGCGGCAGGTCCCCCTCAGCGTGATTCTCCTCGGCCCGGGGGTGGTCGGGGCTCCAGCGCAGAGAGTCCCCCTTGCCCCCCTTGGTGCGCGTCAGCAGGGTGCGCGTCGTTGGCGTGGGCATCTTGCACCACTTGAAGTCGGGGTTGGCCTTCATGAAGGCCTCCTTGTACTGGGGCCAGGGCAGCAGCACCGCACGGGAGGGAGAAGAAGCGTGCAGTCGCACGGTCAATCAACTGCACGCACACACTCGCGGGCTATCGTAGCTGCAAACACCTGGCACATGTGAGACAGCGTGCGTCGCTGCGTGACGTCAGTTTGAGTGTTTGGTGCAGTGAAGAGCGGCGCTAGGGCTATAGCGGCTGACGCGCAAAAGTCAATGTCTGCCACTGCAGACACACCTGCTGCGCGTGTGGCTTGCTTACACGCAATGCATTTCCCTTTTTTTTTTTCATGGATAAAACTTTTATGACAGTTCTACAATTCACATTGAGGATTGAATTCTCAGTGTGAATGGTAGAATTGCTTTTCTCGGAAAATAGGTTGCAAAGTTCAGCCCGGCAGGCCTGATCTAAAGGTACTGCATGCAAGAGAAAGGCGAGAGAACTCTCAAAATGATGCAAGTAATCACCTTCTCAACCATTCGAGCAAATTTGAATAAGAACAGCCTGAAAAGTAATTAAAAAACAATGCTGTAAATGTTACACCTTGCAATAACAGGTGCTTCAGTGCTTTACACTTTATACACTACTTTACAACCTGCATTCAGAGAGGCTATAACCATACTGACCTCATCAGTTCAGTACTCCAATAGTTACATTGTCGTTTAACTGTTGCCGTCACAGTCCTTACGTACAACAATCACCCTCAAAGGACAAAAGCGCGAGTTCCAAAGCGTTTTAGGAATATATGTCGCCTTTTCTTTTTTGCCCTTCTCTGCTAATCTGCCCCAAGCTTCGCTTGTAAGAACCTCATAGAAACGTTGGAAGGGCACTGACACCCCAAAGGTCATATTTATGTTGTTGTCTACAATTATGCAAGTTGTAGTCATAGACACGCAAAAAAATACCTCAACGCAAAAAAAAAAAAAAAAAAAAAAAAATATTTACCCACACGGCACGCACGCCTTTTTTATTTTTCGTGCTTTTCTCTCCTGCTCCTCACCACCTCACTTCTTTTGATTTGCAACGTCAAATATTATGAAATATAGAAGCTTTGTAGGCGACATTTCCATAACATTTAATAACGGCATTCATAAAACATGTTTTCAACAATTGCAAACACACTATGGCCTTTCTTTTTGAAATACCGAAAATCGGAGTCCGAAAAGATGTCGCCTCATGGCTTTTTATCCTCCCTCGGAAAACATGACGGCGCTCACACATGTGCAGAGGATGATCAGCGAGTCGGGGAATCAAAAGTAGTCATCATTTTTAACTGCCCTATGACCTCTCAGACTTCGAAAAGGAAATCGTCTAATGGTCAAAACAACTGGGTTTGGTGTCTGTATCGTAGTTTCGGTTGTGGGTTTGCCGGGGCAGCCTTTCACTCAGAACCGGTGCGACATGGTTCCCCATATCGCTCACAAAAGTCCACTGCGAATTCTCTTTGTCCTCACACCGTTTCAAAGAATTTGCAATCACTGGGAGGGCCCTAAAAGAACTTCAAACTTGAAAGTCAAGTGTCTTCTGCTCGCAGCTGGTTATTTGCCAGAAGCCGGCAAACACGACACTTCGAGTGGCGGCGGTTCCAAGGCATCGGAGAAGCTTGACTTGCAGGACGGCTCAATATATGACGTCACTACATTGGCGCGGATCGTGCGGGAACTTCAAATTTGGCATTTGGAAATTGTTTTTTTTACTTCACAAATACTGAATTCTCAAGTTTCGAATTTTGAGGGTAATGTCCAGGCATCGTTTTGAATTGTTTTGGATAGTAAAAAAATGCATGATTTTGATGCGTCAGTGCCATTTTAAGAGACATTCTCAATGACCCAGAAAAAATCCAGAAACAATGTTTTTCTGCATTTTAGGAGCAACAATAGTTCAAATGATGTTTCCCTACATGGCAATGGCAAGAAGGACTACCTTCTGAACTGGTATTTCAAAGAAAAACTTCAAGTAACTTTTAGTGGCTTTATCTGTTTAATAGTTTTACAAGTGCTTTGCTGTTCTTGCTGTTCACATAAGGCTGTGCGCGAATTCATATTATTGCTGATGCCAACCATTGAATTTTTCTTCCCACGAGTTTTTTTAATTAGTCATACCATTGAGTGCTCCTTTGACTACTTCCTTATGCTGTCTATTTCCCACTCAGTGCCTTTGTACCCTCAATGCCTTTCATACTTAAACCCAAACATTTTTCTTAATACTAAAACAATACCATTTTTTTTTTTTCCCCCTGAAAATGTCATTTACATTATCTTGGTCGTGTTCGAAAATCTACTTATTTTCGCCGAAGACAAGACAAAGTTTTGTAATTTGGCTTCCCACCACCACTGTATGTGTTCCCACGTGATATTACTGGAGCAACTCGGATCTCCTCCAGCAAGATTTGGAACACATCCCTTGTGATCCCAGCATGCTATACCCCATGTCTTCTAGAATTTTTAGATAACCATTTTACCACAGAATGGACAATGCAACAGCCAGCGGCAAAAACCCAAAGCAAAACGTTCTTCAGCCAAATGGAAAGAGACGAGAGGAGACGATAGCATCAGACACGGCGAAGGAAACCACGCGTAACTATGAAAGCCTGGATCACAACTTCCCTACGCATATTTTCTGCCTAACGGTTCTGCAGGGGGAACAATACCATCCGTCCGAATTAAAACTTAGTCAATGTCATCGGGGGAACCTCTGCCATCTAATACAACCATAAAATTAGCATTGAATATCAATCAGGTGTCCCTTTCAACCTAAGTCAGAGGCTTCACTAGGGGAGGAAGAGGGGGGAGGGGCCAGGGAGGGCGAACCGCTTCAGGTGCATCGCTAAGGGAGGTGCAGTTGGGCAGTGAGAGGGGAGTGTCGTGGCGAGCCATTGCTTCGGGTGCCACTGACCCTAGTGTTGCCACTGAGTGGAGTTATGTACGATGATTTGAATTTATGTTTGCAGCATGCAACACAAGAACAAACAAACCAAACAGACAAATTGTATCCCATAAATAAATTAAACAAAAAATGAAGATTGTCCCAGTGGCACTTGCCTGCATACATCCCTTGGCGCACACCGATATGAACCAGGAGTATAGTGGGAGAAAAAAAAAATGTGCAAGAAAGGATCCCACCTCCTGCAGTGGTCCGTATCAAATTTGATTTGATTGGGCATTCACTACTTTTTAGACTATCGGCTGAAATATGGTTTAGAAGGTTGCTACTCGTTTCTGCGTCTTTTTGATAAAACAGTTGTTCACACATTTTCGAGAACATTGGCCACTGTACGGACGCCCCCAGGAAATGAAAACTGACATCCCTACAAGACGCAGCACATCACTTAGCACATGCCGAGGAGAGTCTGCAAAGAGGTGCGGGCCAACATCAACACGGCCGGGGCCCAGCCCAGCTCTGCCTCCCAGCCCCTCACCTGCTTGGCCAGCTCGGTGTAGGTGTTCTTCTCATCGGACTCCAGGGTGGCCCACCACTCTCCGAGGATCTTCGTGATGGAGCGGTTCTCCAGGTGCGGGTAGCGCTCACGCACCACGCTGCGGTGCCGCTTGCAGAAAATGAAGAAGGCGTTCATGGGCCTGCGCATCTCCCCTCCCACGCACCAGTCCTCCTCCCCTCGTCCCCCGATGTCCTCCTCCTCGGGCTCTGCCTCGCCGGGCACCAGGGGCATGGGCATGGCTGAGGGGCCCGCCTGCAGAAAAGGGAAGGAAGGGCCATCAATGTACGCTCGGAGTCAGCCCATCAGTGAACTCTCCCCGTACACATCTTGGTTATCTGACGTTTCTGCTTCAAGACGTTTAGGTGACCCAAGTTTTGAATGTCCCTAATTTCAATAAAACATTCCTGTTGGAACATTCCCTTCATCAATTGTCAGGAAATTTTTAATTGATCCTTTCCCAAATGAGTCGCTACCTTGACAACTTTTGAAAATGCGGCTGACCTCAATGTTCGGGCAAGGCGCTGGCATTACGTGGTATGAACCCACCACTGGTCCTGATTCACTATTGTGAACCAGGAGCTCGGTTAACATCCCAAATTGGTACACTAAGGATAACTTAAATGACAACTGCCGCCCGCAAGATGAGCGACCAAAACCGAAGGCACGGTTCAAGTTTGTGACTGCAAGTTATGTGGAGGCATCTTAGCACAAAACGGAAATTTTGTTTTTTAGGCTTCGTTTTTGCATTTGCGATTCAGTAGGTTGTCGCATTTTTGTTGGCAATGCTGCCCATATTGGCGATGGAGTCGCTCATCGTGTCTTTGTTGGCGATGCGGTTTACATAACACAATAGGGTTGCCTGTCACGCCATTGCTGCCGACATTGTCCACGATAGAGTCCCTTATCGTGTCTTCGGCAGCATCAGTAGAAACCGTTTGCTTCGGCGGCAGTGGTAGTTTTCGACTCCACATTCTCTCCTCTAAGGCCTTTCGGCGAAGTTGAAAGCAAATACTGTTAACTTTATTTACACGGCATCAATTGTTCACAAATTTTACAAAGTATGGGTTTTGGGAATACTTGGCGGGCATAATATTTTGTGATTTGAAGAGGTACACTTTGTATTCCTTACCATAGAGTAATTTATTTGCGTGACCTATTTTTTAGAATATTTCTTAAGTCCCGATATTCACGAAAAATAGGTCCTTACGAAACTTAATTTGTTTACAGTGTACTTGAAACAACTTATTGCATTAAGAACCAGCGGCTACCAGCGACGTTCAAGAGGTAACCAGCCTGCCTGAACTGCTTCAGCCTATAGCTTTGTATATTTCGTGCTATTATGTGTCACAGTGTCACCAACATAGCCATTATAAGAGTTCGTCAGCGCCAGATTCAGCGACTCGGTTCTCCTAAACCAAATGATATATATTATTCTTAATAACACAAGACAAAAACTCCCTCAAATAACATATGTTGAAAAAACACTGATGTCAACTTTGAAGTAGTGTCAAATCTTTAATATAAGTATTGAATGTATCACTAGCGAATATGGAAATGACTGCTTCATGGCTGCAAAAAATTAACAATTCAGCTGAGGTAATCGGTACATGATGACCCTAAAGTGGACCATTGTTGACCTAATTGGAAACATTATTTGTCCAATGATACGAGAGAGAAATACGCCGACAATATGTTTACATTTAGGTCTTTTCAGTGATTAGTTTCTTTGATAGAAAACAGGAAAACTGTCTTTTCAGAAAAACTTTGAAATCATTGATTGTCTTACTGGTTTGAGTTCAGCTAGTGGGTACATTGTCACTGATGGTGGGGAAACAGCTTGAACACTAAATGATTAAGGCCCATTAATACACTTGCAACTTCATAGGACTGAGTGCCTTGAAACCTCATAAAATCTTTTACGACAAGAGAACACACTGGCGCCATCTATCAGATAGCGGACTTGGCGGCTTTGTATATTTCCCATTTCTTTCGCACTCTTTCTTTCTTGGCATGAAAAACTTACTTGAACTGGAAAAACAAGGTCATAAGCGCTCATTTCTCAAAGTGCGTACATTTGAGCTCGCAAATACCGCCAAACATTCACTCGAATAAAATGTAGTTCCAGGGTCACCACATACATGGCGCCAGCATGTCAGCGCTTTCTCTAGTCCTAATAGATTCAAGAGGTTGAAAGGCACTCGGTTCTAAGGAGTCGCAAGTGTGTGAACGGGCCTTTACATAGAGACAACAAGCGAAGCAAATTGTTGTGCGCATCTTTATACAGACGCAAGTTAGCCTACCATGGTGGGTGTCTGGTGTCTCAGCTGTAGACGAGCAGTTCAGCCAGTGCAGTACAATTGCTAGCTTTGGATCTGCAACGTGCACCACGCAGCAGAGATACACGATCGCGCACCGGTACGAAGCTCATCCAGATTAAAACGGGCAGGGGTAGGAATATTTTATACAATAATATTTTATATAGTAATATTTTATAAATTTATAATATAAAAATAAATAAATTGTAGATTATCTTCCGTTTTCTGTGACGCGTGCTCAAAGGACTGTTACTGAGTCACAGCACACTTTGTCTTGTCCTGTCTCCGTGCGATTGTTTAGTGTTCAAGCTGTTGCCCCACCATCATCGTTGATTGTGAACTCAAACTGAACATCTCTTCAGTTGTTTCCTTTGGTTAAACAACCTGCCCATTCATCACCTTTTTTTCCCCCCCTCAAACGCATGATTTTGTTGGGTTACGAACACCATCACACAATCGAAGATCAAACAACAACTGAACTGCACAAAGATGTCACATCCAGCCATGGCCAACTGTTATCCGACACAGCGAACTGCCGCTAGCTACCCTTGGGCAGCCAGACACAATTGTTTCCGCGACAGTACCCCCGAAAGACAAATGCTGATGGATGCATTCAGAGTACAAATACTTTGTTCATCCCTCAGCTGACAGTGCGGTCAGAGCTACACGCTCGCCCTCTGAGCATGATCATGTGACGAAGACAGACGCACGACTGGTCTGACGAGCGCGTAGCTTCCATTGTACTGTCAGCTTTGCAGAGAACAACCAGTACAACGAACGCTTCTTTCTTTTATGGCACTCCGCACTTGTCCAGTCAGAATATCAGACACGGAAGGGGTACCGACCGAGGATAGCGAGGTTATAAGGTAGGAAGAAGGTGCGTGTACGAGCGGCCTCCGGAAAACAGACCAAACAAAACAGGAAGGGACGATAACAGTAAAACGATTCTACCAAACAACATGGCTCATGTAAAAGGAAATCGCTCGAAGAAATAGATTGACCATTCTCCGCCTAGCAAATTATGCGCAAGTTACCAGCGAAGCCACATAGTATTAAAATAATAAAAAACAAATCGTCCTTTCGCCTCCCACTCGGGAAACGTCTTACATTTTCGGCGAGACGTACGAACATGGCCGTCTACCTTGGAGACTGCTTCCGTCGTACCTTCGCGAGGGACATGTGCACATTGTTTTGGCTTTCTTTTTTGGTTCGAAGATGAAAAGCAGTCGAGTGGCCGGAAAGTCAGACAACTCACTACCCATTGTTTCCTCTTTCTGCCTGAACTTTTGACGAATGCCATATCGGGGGAGGGGAACCAAGGTGTGGTTCTTGGCTCGTGACAGTGTGGTGCAAGCTACGAGCTCGATGGACAACTCATATGCTTCCGCCACGTGACCACGCTCCCGCCCATACCCAGGTGGCAGGCGCAAAGAGCAGGGTCAGGCAATGAGATCGAGGCGGCTGATTGGTCCGGCGACCGCGTAGCTCCCACTGTACTGCCAGGTTAAAGATTATGAACAGAGCATAACAACCCGGATTCCAGAAGATTGCAGAAATTATCCAAAAGGAACTGCACCAATTTCACATAACAAAAAGAATTTCATCAAACGTTTCGTTTTCCATACAGGAGATATCAAGTTAAATCCGGAGTGATTCATGGGCCTGCAACGCCGGCCGACCCGACCCGACCCCCCCCCCCCCCCCCCCTTCCCCCACTTTTCCGACGTGTACGCGGACGTTCTACACGGCGAAACATTGCCGCCAGCTGCGATTGGCCAGCTCCGCACCGCCGACCAATCGCAGCAGGCGGCGATGTCCCGGTCCGGCTTCCTCCCGCCGTGTAGATTAGGGCCCCTGCTTGCGTTGTCTTCTTATTCCTGCCATCTCGACACCACTGATGGTGTCTCCTATGTGGGAGACGAAAACGTCCGATGAAATTGTTACTTTTTGTTACGTAAAGTCGGTGTACTTTATTTTATCGAAAAGGTCCGTCCGCGAGAGCAGCGGACCGTGCAGCCAAGAGCTTCCGAAGGCGATGCAGCAGCCGTACGCAGTCGGCCGGCGGGATCCAGCCAGAAATCCGGCCGGAAAGGCCAGCGCACCGGAGGGGGGGACGGCACGCGGACGCAGGCGGAATAACCGAGCGGGGGGGTCGACGACCCCGGCCCCCATCTGGAGAGGCGCCGCCGCCGCCAAGGGCCGGACAGTTCAGTTAGCAGCGCGGCGGCGCGCGCACGTACCGAGCGACCCGGCAGCAGCAAACGGCAACCGCTTCATCACGGAAGGCGCGCGGGGGAACCGCATTCCAAGCCCGCCGCGGAAACCTTTCTGCCCCGGCCGGTGACACCGGCGGCGCGATAAGCCGGACATGCGCTCGAGTTGCAAACAACACCGCTCTCGGGTAGCCCATATGCGGGCACACAATGAACGCGGGACGTATTGCTGCTCAAGCTAATCAATAGGCGGCCCACAGCGAGAGAAACCAAAGGGCCGCCGATGCGAAGACTGCCGGGCGGATGGCTGGGCCGCCGAAGGTAAAACCGAAATGTGAATGGTGTCATTCTGCAGCACAGGGCCGTAACCAGGGGGGGAGGGGGGGGGGGGGGGGGGGGGGGGTTAGAAGGTTCTGACCCCCCCCCAAAATTTTTTTCTGGGTATGGCCCTGGTCGGTGCACTTGCAGCCAGCCGATTTTAATCTCCACCTCTGCGCACGCGCAGTGGCACCGGTCGGCTACCGGGTACCAAACCGGGACCGGTTCTTCGGTTTGCTATGACTCTCCATTATATGCCACCGATGCACATGATTCATAGGCAAAAATAAGACAATAGACATTTTCAAAATGGCCGCCGTTGTCCCCGAACCCCCCCCCCCCCCCCCCCCCGAAATTTTTTTCTGGGTACGGCCCTGCTGCAGCATAAGTTATATAATCCCGCGCA